AGGGGAAGCTGGGGATTTTGCATACTAGATCAGGCTTGAATTGCACCAGTGGGTCTGTATAAGGACAACTTTGACAGCATCTGTTCACATCACTCTGCCTTTGTCAAGGCGCAAGTAGTCTTTTATCTTTATGAGGAGCATTTTAAAGCAGGACAAGGGGCAACATCAGGTTGGAAGTATTATTTTTTTATTGGAGGCTACATGCATTAAAACTCAAATTCCTCAGTAAACAGTACCTGTTTGGTAGTTCCTAGGGGTTTGGCCAGTTCACCCAGAGCGTCACAGGCATGGCTCCTCAAGTGTTTCTGTCCTTAGATATAAAAGCATTTGTGAAATTGGTAATTGCTTGGTTGCTTGCATACTTCTCCTGTATGGCAATTGCCATTTAAAGGTCAACGCTTTCCAATATGTTCTGGGTGTCACTGGTTTTCCTAATAGTGAGAAGATGAGTTATCTGTGATAATGATTCTTACCCTTACAAGTGCATAAATATTTGAATTGTCATAGCACGAAATATGGCAGTGAAAGATCTAGGTTCAGCTGTACTCCATGAACATGAAAACAACATGTACACGAAGAGAAAAGGAGGCTATCCCTAACTCATGGAGCATATTGATGAAAATCAGATATAACTCAAAAAAAACTTTGGAGTCAGACTATTTTGTGATTTTTACAGGAAGATGTAAGGGTTGACAGATGCTGGAATTCAGGGATCTAATTCATGAGTTGAACTATTAGGCCATAAAAGACAGCAGCACTGGAAAAAGAGTTACAGGAATCAACATTTAAGAGGGATTGGGAGTTACCTGTCAGAAGCTATTTTAGGAGAAAAACTAATAAAGAGAAAGAGAGACTATGAAGGACTTTTGAATATGAGAGATCCAGAGAATGATGAACTTGAGGGGAAATCTAGATATGCAGAGAATCTGTTGTTTTAGTGTGTGTTCATAACTGCTTTTAAGTTTTTTTTACTCTAAGACCACCAGGAGCCTCTGCAGTAGCTCCTAAATGAACTTAAACGTAGGATCTGAGCCTAAATTGGACCTGCTGTGGTAATAAAAAACTATTCCAGTGGATTTCCCTGTTCATTTTGTAAGGGGGAAGTTGTACGAGACCATTAGAATAATGTGTACCTGAGAGGTGGTGGTCTCATCAGACCCAGCAAGGTGAGGACAGGCAGCTGCCTGGGAGCTGCAGGAAGAGGGATCTGAGGGGCTTGTGAGGTTTGTCTAAGCTTGGTACGCGGCCCCATTTTGCTAAAGCTGATGTTTGAGGCCGACTGGGATGATTGTTTGGACAGAGTGAAACTAGCCTGAAGTGGTACCTCAGGGAGTCATTGGCATGCAGGTGACAGATGAACCTGCGTTTGCAGATGAGATCACCAGCAACAGGGTGGCAAGTGTTTATTTTTAATGTCATATCGATGTTGGGCTGGCTTATGAGCATGCGTAACTTGTCAACACTGCAACACTACGTGAAAGTCTCCTGTAGCACCTTTGAGACACCTTTTGCCAGGCAGGACTGCAGTTTACTTTTGCTAATGAAGTTGTGGACAGCTGGTTCTAATGGATGTGAAGAGGTTGCCCTATCCAGTTCTGTTAAGTGTTTCAAACTCACTAGTTACAGATGATGGAAACGGTGATAATGGATATTTTCTGGGTTATAAAGACATCTTGTGTTTCCTGAAAGCGAGCTGAGAATGCTGCTAGCAATGAAAAACAAATCAAAAAAATCAAACAAGACAGAGAACAGCCTTCTGTTCAATAATTACCCCACAGTTTTACGAATTTTCTCTTATGCTTAGACAATGCCCCTTAGAGTTGGTTATTTTACAACTTTATGACAATCACAGAGCTTGTCTGTATCTGTGTTATGTATATGCTGAAGGGCAGAGAATAGCCTCAAAGTGGAAGGTGTCAAGAAATGTCTAAAATCAATTAACCATTATGTAGCATGTAGGAGACATTCCTAGTCTCTCTGTGAATAGTCCTCGAGACAGCATGGCTTTCAGACTGCCCGAGAACTGGTACGTTTCCAAGTTACCGGTGGAAATTGCTTTGAGCTTAGAATAAACCTGCACACACATACAAATTAGAAGAAAACAAAACACATTGAATAAAATCTTGGCTTTATCAAAGTAAAAAGGAGTTTGCTACTGACTTCAGTGGAACAAGAATTTAATCCATAAAGAGGGGAAAAAAAAAAAAGGTTTTTTGTACTCTGAAATCAGAGCTAAGCTGTCTGATGTAGGGATTTTTTTTTTTTTGTCACAGATACCTGCTTGTTTTCACATGTATTTGCAGGATCTGAAGGCCACAAAGTCTTTGTAATTGTGTGTCTGCAATCCCTAACTGCAATATGCTTGCCAAAGCACACCTGGAACACTCATGCTTTTGTAACTTTCATTTCTTGTTTTTATGGTCCAGCAACATTGCTCAGGCCTGTTAAAATGAGTTGGCAATTAGTAACATAAATATAACTTGTCCGACTTGATTTGTTCTTCCCACACGCACGTTCTGTGTCTGTCTCTCTCCAGCTGGGGCATGTGTAGAAAGAAGAGTAGCAAGGAAGCAGGCTGTGATGGGAGGAATACCAGGAAGGTTTTTACCCTTCTAGAATGAGCTCTCATACATTATGGAAAGCAAAAATAACTTGTAGCCATCGTAGTGCAGTGTCTCTGCGAGCACACTGTCCTTGGGTGTTCCTCTGCTACACTTGCATAGCCTGGCAAGAGTTACCATTAGTTTTCATTAAACAACCTGTAAATCGGTTGCACCTGAGTGCTTTGAAGGGTCCAGTCCCATGTGCCTGCTTAGAGCACATCTAACAAATGCCAGATGGGATTTCTTGTTGCTGTTTTTAGTCATTTGGGGCTTATTTTTTTTTTTTAAATCCTGCCACAGATATAAAATTGCCCTAATAGCTAGAGTGCTCCACTGGTAAATGGGAGTTCATGCTTAACTTCTCCAACCTAGAGAGCTATGCTGCCTCTTGCCTGCCTGCCGAGTCCCGGTGCCATGGTGTTATACCCTCACCGTGTGGGAACCATGCAAACCTCCCTGCCTCTCCCCATCCGGTGGAGACTGTGTCACAACAACAAAAAATGTGACCTTCACTTGCCTAGAGAAGGGAAGAGGACTACAGGAGAGCACGGAAGCCCATAGGCTGGTGTGGGAGCACTGAGAAAAGGGTTGGAGCTGTGGTCTCTACCGTCTGGGCCATGAGTTTTCATTTACTGTGTTAGCAATCTGAGCTCCAGAGAGGAGAAAGAATTAGGATAACTTCATGCTTAATGTGCAGATTTCCATGCCCTTCTGCAACTATACCTTCTCCACGCACTAAGCAAGTGTATCAGTCTCTGCTCAGGATTCCTCCTTGGGGGCTGACACCTAAAAGGTAATCATTACAGCCTCTACTTTATAGGCTTCAGGTGCTTTATTGGGTCTGACCCTTCATGGACCTGTTGGAGCAAGTCCAGAGGAGGGCCACAAAAATTATGAGAAGGCTGGAACACCTCTCCTATGAAGAAAGACTGAGAAAGTTGGGTTGTTCAGCCTGGAGAAGAGAAGGCTCCAGGGAGACCATATAGTAGCCTTCCAGTACTTAAAGGGGGCTGATAAGAAAGATGGGGACAAACATTTAGCAGGGCCCGTTGCGACAGGACAAGGAGTAATGGTTTTAAACTAAAAGAGAGTGGATTTGGACTAGATACAAGGAAGACATTTTTTACAACGAGGGCAGTGAAACACTGGAACAGGTTGCCCAGAGAGGTGGTAGGTGCCCTGTCTCTGGAAATATTCAAGGTCAGGTTGGACGGGACTCTGAGCAACCTGTTCTAGTTGAAGATGTTCCTGCTCATTGCAGGGGATTGGACTAGCTGACCTTTAAAGGTCCCTTCCAACCCAAACTATTCTGTGGTTCTACAATTCATTACACAAGGATAGGGCTACATTACTTTGTAAGAGTAAGTCAGCATGCAGGCCTACAGAAGTGATGGATCTGTTTGATCTGTCATGGGAAGTGATGGATCCGTTTGATATACCTCCTCTGACTACTGCTAGCTTAATGTGTATACCTGGAGAGGGATTTATAATGAAAGAAACATTTATATTTAGTAAGTTTTATTTTACATACGTGCTCATGCGAACGAGTCCCTGTTTGCAGTATGTTCTTGGTTATCGTGCTCCTCTGCTAAGAAGGAATGGTTGCATATTTCTGGCCATGTCATCATGAGTTGTGAATGACAAACCAAGTGACATGTTTTATTTGATTGCTGCAGTGCTTGTGAATAGCTCAGCGTTGACAGCCTGTGAGGAAAAGTACCGTTAAATGCTCTGGGATAGGCTTAAGATGGGCCACAACACTGGAAGGTTTTCTCCTCCAGCCCAGGCATTATGCCTCATTTCTGAAGTTACCATCCCATTGACTTGTTTGCTGGGCTGTCACATCAGCTATAGCAATGTTTTTGACACCACTATATTTTGTGACATTTGTTCCTTAAAAAATGGGAATAAGGTCACACTAAACAGCTGTGAATAGCCATCAACTTTCAATCACCATCAGCCCAGACAGCATTTGAAACAGCAGCTTTGGGTGGGGATGAAAGGCTCTGTGTC